TCATTCAGACAGAACACAGGAATACTACATGGGTTAAAATCAGTAAGAGTGTATCAGGGTTGTATCCTTTCACCATACTTATTCAATCTGTATGCTGAGCAAATAGTCCAGAAGGTGGACTATATGAAGAAGAGTGTGGCATCAAGATTGGAGGAAGACTCATTAACAACCTGTGATATGCAGACAACACATCTTTGCTTCCTGAAAGTGAAGATGACTTGAAGCACTTCCTGATAAATATTAAAGACTACAGTCTGCAGTATGGATTACATCTCAACATAAAGAAAACAAAAATCCTCACAACTGGACCAATAAGCAGCATCACAATAAATGGGGAAAGATTGAAGTTGCCAAAGATTTCATATTACTTGACTTCACAATCAACACCAATGGAAGCAGAAATCAAGAAATCAGATGTTGTACTGCACTACAGAAATCTGCTACACAAGCCTTCTTTAAAGTGCTATAGAGCAAAAATGTCTCTTTGAAGACTAAGGTATGCCTAATCCAAGCCATGGTATTTCCAATCACTCCAAATGCATGTGAAAGCTGGACAATGAATAAGAAGACTGAAGAACTGATACTTCTGGGTGGTGGTATTGGCGAAGAACACTGAAAGTGCCATGCACTGTCAAAAGAACTAATAAATCTGCCCTGGAAAAAGTGCAGCCGGAATGCCCCTTGGAAGTGAGAATGGTCAGACTTCACACCTACTTTGGTCTTGTTGTCAGAAGGGACCATTTCCTGGAGAAGGAAATCATACTTGGTAAAGTGGAAGGTCAATGAAAAAGGGGAAGGCCCTCAACGGGATGGACTGACACAGTGGTTCAACAATGGGCTCAGGTATAGCAAGGATTGTGAGGCTGGCACAGCATCAGGCAGTATTTCATTCTGTTGTACATGGGGTCACTATGAATTGGAGCTGACTCAGTGGCACCTATCAACAACATTTACTGAGCACTGATGTACCAGGCACTGCTGTAAGTACTTGCTTAAATACTTTCTTTTAGAAGTATGAGCAGCAGGTGGAGGTTAAAGATGTGCCAGAAGTCCAACTTTTCCACACTGCTGTACCACTCCATCATCTTTAGCATCACCTACTCTTCCTCCCCTCAGTACTTTCCTTCCCATCTTATGGTTCTGTATTTTGATTTAACATCCCAGACTTCACAACTGCTGAGGAAATGGCTCAAGTGGTGGTGGAGTCTGGGAGGCTGGCAAGTCCCAAATCAGCGGGACAAGCGTAGATCTGGAGGATTCTCCTCACTCATGTGGTTGTTAAGGGCTGACATATCCAAATTGGCAGGTCAGATGACTGGCTGTTGTCCCAAGTGCAGGGGTGAGATAATGATGAACCAAAAGCAGGATCTGGAGCAAGTGAGGAAACTTTCCCAGAATATTCACATATATATCCTCAAGGAAACCAAGGATGGTGCCTTGAGTCACACACCCCACCAAAGCAGACTCAAGATACATCCCACCCTAAACAAGAAAAAAGGCTAGGATTTACAATATATCACAAAATGGAGCTGTGGCTAGAAGGGCCATATTAAGCAACTCAGTGCACTGCAATACTGTAATTTTTGAATCCTCATAGCAACCCTCTCTGAAGTATTTACTATCAGTGTCCATATTTTGCAAATGAGGCAGAAATTATTGCTTGCTCAAGTTAACAGTTGATAAGTGGTAGAGACAATTATGTACATTCCAGCTTCCTTGGTGACTCTTAAACAGTGATTGATCTAGGAATGGATAGGGAACATAATTCTGGCCAAAAAGATATGAGGGAAATGTTATTGGTAGGTGCCGCCTAGGAGGTTTCAGCTCACAGTGACCCCATGTCCGACAGAATGAAACACTACCTGGTTCTGAGCCATCCTCACAGTCATTGCTACATTGAGCCCACTGCTGCAGCCAGTGTCGACTCATCTCATTGAGGGTCTTTCTCTTTTTCACTGCCCCTCTACTTTACCAATCATGATATCCTTCTCCAGGGACTGGTCCCTCCTGATACCATGTCCAAAGTACGTGAGACAGTCTTGCCATCCTCACTTCTAAGGAGCATTCTGGCTGTACTTCTTCCAAGACATGTTTGTTCTTCTGGCAGTCCATTCTTCACTAACATCGTAATTCGAAGGCATCAACTCTTCATTGTTCTTCCTGACGTTTATTGTACACAGTGTCATTATGAGTCGATATCGACTTGACAACACCTAACAGCTTCCTTATTCACTGTCCAGCTTTCCCATGCATATGAGGTGACTGACAATCATGGTCAGGAATACCTTAGCCTCAAAGCAACATCTCTGCCTTTTAAACTTTAAAAAGGTCTTTTGTGGATTTGCCCAATGCAGTACATCATTTGAGAGGAAATGTAGGGGTCTTCTAAGAAAATTTTCCCCTTTTCTTTGCCTTTGAATGTTAAGTGAACATGTCCAGAGCTGTGGTAGTTATTTGTAACCCTGAGGATGAAAATTAAAACCATTGGCATCAATTGCAACTCCCAGTGATCCTATAGGACAGGGTAGAACCACCCCATAGGGTTTCCCAGGCTGTAATCTATGGAAGCAGACTGCCACATCTTTCTCCCAAGGAGCAGGTCGGAAGGTTCAAACCACTGATCTCTCAGTTGCTGAGCACTTTAACCACTGTGCCATCAGAACCATAGCAGATAATCAAAAGCAGTAGAGTAGAAAGTTCAAAGAATCTAGGTTTTTTACGTCATTATTAATCAGCCAAACTAACCAACATTGAAAGTGAAGCTCTGGACTTGTTATGTCAGAAGAATCAATGTTTTGACACTCTTAGTTGGGTCTTTTCTACCTTGCATCTGAAAGCAGTGATGCAATCTACCTCACTAGAGATAAAAATAGAAATATTTATTGACGTTACTGTGTGCAGGGACTGTGCTGTTTAAGTAACACTTTCTTCAAAACCTAGGAAACAGAAGATAGGCAACTTGCCTGAGATACACAGCTTGTCAGTGTCACAGCAGGAATTACTCCTTGCTAGAGAAGATGAGGGAGCTCTGGTAGCATAGTGGCTAAAGCACTTGACTGCTAACCAGAAGGCTGGCGGTTCAAACCCACCAGCCACTCCTCGGAAGGAAGGTTGGGCAATCCTACTTCTGTAGTGATACTGCCTCAGAAACCCAAGGAGGGGTCGCTATGAGTCGGGGCTGACTCGACGGCACATAACAACAACAACAACAGAGAAGATGAACTGGAGTAATATGGCCTTCTTTCCATCTTCTGAGTCCAAAAGCCACTACCCCATACCTCTACCCCCTTATCGTGGCAAAAACATTTGCATTTGAACTCTTCTCCCTTATGACAGAATGCATCACTTCCAAAGGACCTCACTGGATTGAGATGAAGATATTTCATGTCATGGTAGTAGGCATCCTAGCATGTACACTTTTCCCCAAGGTTATACAGGGCCAGGCAGGCAAGATGTGTTTCAACAATGGGCGACCTCTATTCACTTCTGTCCCTCGCTCTTACAGTTTCCCCTTCACCAGGACCTCCAAGATTCCTCCCAGGCTGTGGTGCCCTGCTCTAACACTTCAGCATCCCACAGAGTTGGCTGTTAAGTAGCACTGGACTGGATGCCACACCTCACTACCAGAGGCTGCAATTTTCAGGTCCTGAAAATGACTAAATGCCCATCTTTATTAGTGCTGCAAATCTAAATGTCAGAGATTAAAAGGGATGGGAGGGAACACCTCATACAACTAGAAAGGGTGCAGGCACTCATATTCTGCTGTACTCAACATGTAAAATTTAAGTATGTGTTAAAAACCTTTACACTGCACATGCCCAGCACTCTCTCTTTTAGGGAAAAAAAAATTAGTGAAGCATACAATGGTGATTTACTATGGAGCCCTGATGATGCAGCGGTTAAAGTACTTGGCTTTTCCATTCCCTCTGTCTTCCTCCCTGCCGAGTCCCACAGCATTCTTCCTCGGACTGTTTGTCTCGGGCCACCAAAGCTCAGCCAGAAGGGGACGTCCCCATCTATTGCTGGAAGATCCAGAGAACTTAAAGACTCCCCAGGATGGGACCCATGCCTCAGTTGAGGTCCAGCTTCCCTGCTCTCTGCCCCCACATAGTCAAATGGCAACTGCTACTCCATCCCCTCATATCAGGAGCTGGGGGGTGAAGGGGTGGGTTTGGAGGCTCTAAGATTATAATACATCCTTACAGTAGAATATTACACAGCCATTAGAACTGATGAGGTAGAAGGTATACTTGACATAGAATGGTGCTGGATTAAGTAAATTAAGTTTAATCTTGGCTGTACTTTACCATAAAGTAACAAGCTGCTCCATGGAAGAAAGATGTGGTGGACTGCTTCCATAAAGATTACAGCCTTGGAAAGCCTTTGGGGCAGTTCTACTCTGTCCTATAGGGTTGCTATGAGTCAGAATCAATGATGGTAGTGGGCTGGATTTTGGTTTTGTTTACAATACTAAAAAACTGGGAACAACCTAAATGTTCCTCAGTGGGGGGTGTTGAGTATAATTATGGTACATCCTTAGAATGGAATATTATGCTGCCATTAGACATGATAAAGTAGAAATGATGAAGCAGAACGGTGTTGAATAAATTAAAGAAAAAAAAAGTAATAAAATAGTATGTATTATCTCATTTTTGTTTAAAAAAAAAAAAAGTCCTGTGTCAAGGCATAGAAAAAAGCAGAGAGGTATAGTGATACTAACATATGAGAAGTGGTTATTTGGGGGTAGGTATTTGAAGTTTGGATGATTTAAATTTCTTTTTTTCTTATTTTCTATTTTTATATGACATGAGGAATGCTAGCATGTACAACATGTACTAAAAAAGAGCAGTGGCTAGAGAGAGAGAAAGCAGGGCCCGAGAGAAAGATGCCTGTTTCAGCACTGGATGGCCCGGGGTGTTCTGAGAACAGAGTGGCAGAGTCTATGTGCTCCACCAAGTTCCTGCTGTGACGGCTGCAAGACGCCAAGAGGCAGAGACCTTCTACTTCCAGCACTCCTGGAATATACTTGGAGTCTTCTTCCTTGAGGGTCTGGCCTCGCTTCAGTTTGAGCTGAGAACTGACAGATATCCAGCAGTATCAGGAGGCTCAGGCAGACGATGGCTGGGATGTAGGTGCTCAGTGACTCGTTCAGAGCCACCAAAGTGAAGACAGCCCCTGGAACAGGAAGTCAGGTCCTTGAAGGTTGCTGAGAACACCTGGTAGATCCAGGAGCTGAGGGCGCTGCAGATCATACTGACCCACCCCAGTCCAAGCTTTCCCATGAGTCACACCCCTCCACACCCCCCCCCAAACCAGCTACACTCATCACTCTGGCCTCCCAGAGGAAGCAGGACCAGGAATTAAAAGCCCCTTGAACTTATATAAAAGAGCTCTGGTGGTATAGTGGTTAAGGCATTTGGCTGCTAACCAAAAGGTCAATGGTTTGAACCCACCAGCAGAACAAAGATGAAGCATCCGCTTCTGCACAGATTTACAGCTCTGGAAACCCAATGGGGGTCACTATAAGCCAGAATCAACTCAACAGCAGTGAGTGTGGTGTTTTGTTTTGTTTTTGGTTTCAAATAATGTAGCCTCACTCAGAAGGCAGGAAAGAAACAGAATCAATACAGCCAACAGGGCAGGGGCTGAGGTGGGGATGGTAGAACAAATTCTCCCTGATCCTTCTCCTTTCATAATCTTACACTTACTGGAGAGGGCAAGGCCTAGGGGTTGGTAGTGGAGGTGTGGGAAAGATCTGGAAATGAGGAAAACTCCAGAGATGGAAAGCAAGCCTGAGGAAGGAGGGGGCGGCAGCAATGGTGACATAAGGCCAGGCGATACAATGGAAGAGCCTGAAAATGTCTGGCCTGCAGTTGTCTTTGTAAGTCAGTAGTTTCTACAGGCAGAGCATCTATGAGGTGGGCCTTCTAGGACATCCTTCACCAGGGAAATTCTCTGCCACCCTATCTAGTGGGCCCCAGCTTCCCTGCTCTCTGCCCCCCCTCCCCACCAGACACATAAGTCAAATGGCAGCCACTCCATCCCCTCATATCAGGAGCTGGGGGGGGGGCGGTGAGGGGTGGGTTTGGAGGCTCTAAGATTATAATACATCCTTACAGTAGAATATTACACAGCCACTAAAACTGATGAGGTAGAAGGTATACTTGACATAGAATGGTGCTGGATTAAGTAAATTAAGTTTAAAAAGCACCTGCTCCACTCTGAAAACCATGGCTATTACAGTAGAAAAGAAGTGCTCTTGGTCCCAGGAAAGGAGGGCTGGCAATAATAAAGGGGGAAAGGCCAGGTCTCTCCATCACCCTCCCTGGTAAGTCCCATTTTCTAACCCAGTTGGCCCCCCTTACCAATCATGAGCAAGGTCAAAAGCAAGTTACTGATCTCTTGTAGCATCGGTGAGCCCAGGAACAGCAGCAACCCAGCCAGTAGTTCCAGCCAGCCCACAGTCGCTTGGTAGCTTATGGGATCTGGCTGGTAGCCGAACACCTTCAATGGGAACACCTCAGCAAACTGCACGAACAGGGCTTTCTAGGGGCGGCAGGGAATACAGTCAGCCAAGCTCAAGAACCCATTGCCCAAGCATACCACAGAGGCATGTGGTGCCTGAGCCCTCAACTCCCCCCACAAAGGAGCTAGTCTAGGTCAGGTCAAGGGCAGAGGTCTGCCTAGGGAGGAGCAGACCACCAGGTGGGGCTGAGCTTTGGAATCAGAAAACAGGCTTTATGCTTCAAGTGAGAACAGCTGGGTGGTGGGTGCAGCGCTGAACTGATTTTCTCACCAGAACTCACACCAGGTTACAAGAGCCGTGAATTCTAGGAAGGAGTTGGGCTTGGACTTTCCCATCAAGTGCCAAGACCTTGGGAACTCCACAGCTTCCTACCTGGCCTGGTTTCTCTTTGGACTCCTTTGTAGGGAATATTTGGGGGGGGAGGGGGAAGGATGCATGGGCAGACTGTTGCTGATTAAACAAATTCCACCCCAACTCTCCAATGTTGGTTTCTGGATCTCACTGCAGCAGCCAAAAAGGGTGTTGAGGGGGCTCTAAGTGACTCCTCAGGCTGAGTCAGCTCTGTCCTGGGCCAAATGACTTTACCCCTACCCTTTGGGTGGCTACTTTTTTCTGCTCCCTCACCTCAGCCACGCTAAAGACGCAGCTCTAAGCTGTCTGGCTGGGGGATGTACTTTCCCAAACCACCCACCACCCTGAGCCAGGCAGGGAGAGGAATACGCAGGCCTGAAAGAGGGAGGGTGGCATGGGTCTCCAAATCTGACTTCTGTAACGTGCCGGGGGAAGGGGGACGTCAGTAGGCAGGGCACTAAAGCTTTCCCACGAGTATGGTACTAGACAGAAGGCAAACAAGGTAACTTCTAGGCCCCGTGGAAAGGACTACAGATACTGAGTGAGGAGAGTGTCTAGTTCGGATTCTGTCTCCTGACTAGCTGTGCAACCCTTAGCAGATCATGTCCCCTTAGGAGCAAGGATAACAAGCCTCAGCCTTATTTATCTCCCCAGAACTCAAGCGAACGGTAAAAGGGGCATGAGGCCGGGAAGCAAGCTTTTCCATTCCCTCCGTCTTCCATTCCCCCGAGTCCCGGAACATTCTTCCTCGGACTCTGTCTGGGGCCACCAAAGTTCAGCCGGAAGGGGACGTCCCCGTCTGTTTCTGCAACATCCAGAGAACTCGGAGACTACCCAGGATGCGGCTCACGCCTCAGTTTAAGTCCAGGTTCTTTTCCCTCAACTCTAGCGCGGTCTGGTCTAAGGCCAGGCGGGTCCGCGGGGAGCAGGGGGCAGGGCGCGCCGGCAGCCAAAGTAACTGCCGAGGATCGCCAAGCACGCCACCCAGCGGGCCCGATCCCCCGCCCACGCCACATCGCTCACCATCTGCTCCGACACCGGAGCCGAAATCTGCTCCGAGAGCTTGGCCGCCCCCGTGAGTACGAAAAAGCAGCCCAGCAAGACGCGTAGAGCCGCGAGCAGGAGCGCCATGGCCGCGCACGCCCTTGGAGGAGCGCGGTGCCCGCAGGGCTGAGAGTTGGCGCTACCGAAAACCCGCCCCCTGGCGCCTGATCATTTCCTTCCTCCCCAGTGTGGCCGGGAGACCCGCGCCCCGAGCCTGCGTTTTCCTCGCGTAACAGAGGGGGTGTTGTCACCCTCTTTCAGGCCCAGGACCAGATGGAGGAAGCGAGAGCGTTTGGGGAAGTCGTCCCCATTTCACAGATGAGGACACTGAGTCCCACTGGCTCATAACTGACTATAAACTCGTCCCTCTGAATACATAAGACTCTCCCAGATAAGAAGTGGTGTCAAACATGGTTTATCTAGATCTGCCTCGCTGAAGAGCTTCAGTGCTCTAGGCACAAGCATCATTCCTGTCTGTGCCACACCTGCGGCAGGATCTGGGATGTCACCTAACATCAGTTGGCCTCAGTACAGTATCTGCATCTGTAAGTGGACAGGACGTCTCTTCACTTCCCCTGAGTTTGTAACAGGCCTAGCACATTGTAAGAGCTCCAGGTTATTTTTAAACTAGAAAATTTCTAAGATTATTAGTAGTAAATCAATAATTAGTAATTATAAAATTAGTTGCACTTTTTCTCTCTGCCTGAAATATCTTTCCCTTTAATTTCTCAGCTGAAATTAAAATGTGGAAGGTGTCAGAAATACTCAGATACATGCAGTCCTGGGAAGAGCAGCTTTCACTGCACAAATCCCTTCCATCTGCTCTTACCTGGAAATCTGTCTAGGGCTGGCATGGGCAAACTGTGGGCCGAATTCAGCTACCTGGTTTTTATTAACAATCTTCCCCCACACACGCTAGTGAGGTTTTTGGGTTTTTTTTTTTTTTTTTTACATTTTTCAATGATTAAGGAAATCAAAGAGCAATTTCATGAACATGAAAATTATTCAGTGTTCATAAGTAAGTTAAATTGGAACACAGCCCCATTCATTTGTGTACTGTCTATGGCTGCTTCTGTGCTGCAACCATAGAACTGAGTACTTGAAACAGTATGGGCTGCAAAGCTTCAAGTATTTATTATCTAGACCTTTATAATGGAAGGAAGGTTGGGCAATCTACTTCTGTAGAGATACCAAAAACCCAAGGAGGGGTCGCTATGAGTCAAAAACGACTTGACGGCACACCACCACCACCACCTCTTTATGAAAAACAGTTTGCCAAGCCCTGCTCTAGTGGGCCACAGAGACCACAAAAGGAGGCCGCACATTCCCCTGACTGAAGAATGAACCATCCTAGGTGCTCTAAAGGCAAAATTGTTTTAGCATCCAAGTTATGCTATTACGTTATGAGTCTGGGCCTTTCACTACCTGCAATCTGTCCAAATCCAAACTATTCAGTCAGTTGATAAAATAGTTACATTCTCTACCTAGGACTATTATGTATAAATGCATGATTATTAAATTCCTCAACAAAAAGAAAAAAAGTTATTAAAAACATTTAATCACTGAAAACACAAATCCACAATAGGAAATTATATTTTAGGATATATATACAAATTTTAACATAAAATGATAGACTTTAATGATAATATACATGTTGCTATTCTTTCTCTTTTACTAATTTTTCTATCCTTGGTATTAAAGATGTTACTGCAAGTCTTAGGGCTGGGCCAGAAACCAACAGATTTCTTTGTTTTGACTCAGTCAAAGCTGAAAACGTAGCATCACATAAATAAATAGTTGAAAAAGGTAATAAAAATTTCATAGCCTTTTCATGGAGTTCTGGGTAACTTGTCTTAGCCTTTATCCAAAACTGAGTTACAGACATTGATTTAAACACTGACTGTAATTCTAAATCTGAAGATAACTGTGTTAGCTTTTCTTCTTCAAAGTCGGTGAGATTACTATTTTGGTGATTGATAAAAGGACTGGTTATCCATAAATTTCCTGAACGCAAATCTTCTTCTGGTGGGTAACAGTCATTGAGCATTTGAGAGAGTCCTTCCAGATGCTCAAAAATAATGCTTGTGATGCTTCTCATATTTAAGTCTGATGAGTTTGAGAATTCAGAAAATGAAGGGAACATGTCATAATCATTCTCCTGTGTGCGCTTCAACCACGTTTTCAACTTTTTCTTAAATGTATCGACTTTATTATACAAACTGAAGAGAGTAGTCATAGTGCCTTGGAGACTTGAAATTAACTCATTTATAAGAGAAAATATGTCTGATAAATAGGCCAGCTTTGCAACCCATTCCTCGTTATGAAAACACTTGGCCAAATCGGAATGCTTTTGATTTAAAAACATTTCAATTTCATGTCGTAATTCAAATAATCTTGTTAAAATCCTTCCTCTCGATATCCAGCGTACTTCAGCACGAAGTGGTAAATTCACATGCTCGCACCCCATCTCTTCACACAAAATTGTTAACATACGTGAATTGAATGCATTGCTCTTGATGAAACTTAAGATTTGTGCTGACTGCAAAAGAATTTCATGTAAGTATGGAGACAACTTTTCTGCTGCTAAATGTTCCCGGTGAATAAGACAATGTGTAAATGCCACTGTATTCATGGCAACTTCTTGAATTTTCGCCCGTAAACCAGAACACCTGCCAGTCATGCTTGCCGCCCCATCTGTACAGAGACCAACACAATGTTTCCAATTCAGAGATTTACTATCAATATATTTATTTACTAGTTCAAATATTTCAAAACCAGTTATTTGAGAAGGCATTTCAATGCAACATAATAATTCTTCTTTTATATCACTACAATCATAATCAATGAAACGAATATAACACAAAAGAAGGGTGATATTTGAGATTTCTGATGTTTCATCTATCTGAAGGGCAAACCATTTTGACTTTCTGACTTTTTCAATCAACTGATCTTCAATGTCTGCAGACAGCTCATCAATCCTGTGTCCAATTGTATTATTAGAAAGAGGGATGGTTCTCATTTTGTCTCCAGCACTTGAACCCAAAACTTCTGAACACATTTCTACCAAATACGGCTTAATTAATTCTTCAGCAGTGGAAAATGGCTTCTTGCTGGCAGCAATTTGGAAAGCAATTAAATAAGAAGCTTTCATAAATGACTTTTCAACTAGTAAACACTTTTTTAAAGAACTGTTTTGACATTCCATTTCAAGAGATTTTTGTTGAAAAAAATCTACTGGTTTATTTTGTAATTCTGAATGTTTTGTCTTCAAATGATGTGAGAGATTTGCTGGCTTCATGTGTTCACTGGGTAAGATCTCTCCACAAATGACACACTGTGGCCTTGGTGAACTTTCTTTTGATCCAGGGCAGATAATAAAGCCAACTTTTAGATATTCTGCATCATGTGTCTGGAAAAAACCTACTCTCTTTTTCTTTGCAGGTGGAGAATCAAGTTCTGCATCATTTTTCTCAATAGGCAGACGTAAATCTGAATGAAATATTTGAATCACTGTTATTTTCATATTCAAATGAGCAGTGTTCCTTATATTTCTCCCCCTACATTTGAAATTTATATTTTATCATTATTTATGTTTATCAAAAGAATACACTGATTCAAGTTTTACAAACCACAATACAAACCATAATATCTCCATGATTCCATTAAGAAGTGAATGTCTCCTTTGCCCCAAGTTTAGTCACTTACTGGAAGTAAATCTGTAGGCTTTGGTTTATGTACAAGTAATCCCATGCATCCAATAGATTACTGGATTTAGGGCTTTCTATAGATTGCATCAAATTAAGAATAAATTTCTTTACTTTCAAAGACTTCAGGAAAAAAGAAGAAACAAATGTTATAAAACCTTAGCATTTGGTGAATCTAGATAAAGGGTAAATTGGTTCTTTGTATTTATTGTTTTACCACCTTTCTGAACTCTCAAGTTTTTCAAAATTTAAGTTGGAGGGAAAAAAAAAAAGGTCAATTATTAATTTGAGTACCCACTGTCAGTGATGGTATTAAAAAAAAAACAAAAACGAACTCTCTTGAACACTTCTGTCTGGAGCATAAATTGATTTAACTTTTCAGAAGGCAATTTATTTAGCAACATGTATCAAAAATCTTAAAAATATAGACTAGCCTTTGAATCAGTAATCCCACTGCTTAGGATTTATCCTAACAACATAATTAGACAAGTGTACAAAGACCCATTTACACAGTGTAATGCAACCTTGTTTATAATATTAAAAACTAGAAGCAATCTACATATCCGATATTGTTGTTATTTGCCGCCCCCCCCCCCGGTCAGTTCTGACTCATGGCGACCCCCTATGTGCAGAGTAGAACTGCTCCATAGGGTTTTTAAGACTGTGACCTTTCAGAAGCAGATCACCACACCTGTCTTCCGAGGTGCCTCTGGGTGGGTTTCAACCACCAACTTTTTGGCTAGTAGTTGAGTGCTTAAACATTTGTGCTGTCTAGGGACTCCTTAAATGCTCAGTGTAAGGGGGTTGGTTATATTATATATACTGGAATCTATGCATTCATTAAGAATGTCAACATATATTTAAATTTGTATTAATGTAGCATGATGTTTCCAATAAGCTGTCAAATTAAAATGTAGTTTACTAGCAATATACAGAAAATAATCCAACATTTAATCTAGAAATGTAAAAAAAATTTACACGTTCACATACCCCCACATATTGATGTTCACAGATCCTTTACTACTCTCCACATACGAATGTGTATAGAGTCATGCATCGCTTAACGTTCACAATACATTCTGAAACAGGATGTTATGTGATTTGGACATTGTGTGAACACAATATTATTTATAGGCAGTCCTTGGATTACGAACAATTCCTGTTCCTAAGTATGTCTTTAAGCTGAATTTGTACTAAGTCAGAACAGTTGGTACAGTCTATATCTAACATCAGTCAATTGTTTGTCTTTGTATACAGTATATAGTGTACCTTTCTATACATTAAAAAACATTAAAGAAACACTTCCAGATTAAAATATTTTAAATAATACAGTAAGAATAGTAATAATGTTTTGATGCAAGTCGCAAAGTAACACACATTTGT